CCAGAGGAGTCGCCCCCTGGTGGACACTAGAGAGAATGCGGCTTTAACACTTGAAGCATCGGATTCACTCTTCAGAACCTGAAGTGCCTCCTGGTTTCGACCGTTGGATGTTTTTTCTCTCCACCTTCACCTACTTGCACTTTTTCACTTCCTGTAGCCTGCAGCTGCTTTAAATTTTCAAGAAACCATAGCGGGAGATGACGGAGAAACAGCAGAACTGGAAAATCTTTCTGCTTCCCTGAACTCAGCGGAGTGTCAACATTTCTGCATTCCTGCGTTATGTAAACAACGAACGTGCCATCAACAGACGATCTGGAGACTTTGATCAGATGTAAAGGAGCTTTCTGCCATCCAGCAGCTCTTCTTTCTGTTCAGTTTGTTCCTAATTAATTGGTGGAATAAGTTATTCTGACCCGTCAAAATGACGGACGGTGTTCATTAATGAAGGATTTCAGGAGCCGTTTGCTGTTTTCATGATTTAGGACGCCTTCAAAACTTCAAGAAAACAACCCTTCATGTAGCTAAACTGGTTTTATATTCAACATATTAACCTGTTTGTCCCACTTTAACGCTGACAGACGTACCTGGTTGTTGACCACCACGTGTATGGTACCATGTGTGGTGTAGGACGGCAGGTCAGACAGGTGGAACGTCTCGTACACGATACCCTGACCTGCAAACGCAGCGTCACCGTGAAGCAGAACGGACATCACCTGTGACATCAATCGTCAGGGTACAACAATGTCAGAAACACGAGCAAAGGGGCCTTTCTTCCCTCCGTACGTTTGTGTGAAACCCAGCGTACCCTCTTGCCCTCCGTGTCTCCGCAGTAGAACTGCTCGGCTTTGGTTTTTCCCTGAACCACCGGGTCTACGGCCTCCAGGTGGGACGGGTTCGCCATGAGCGACATGGTGATCTCCCGGTCGCTGACCCGGTTCATCCTCTTGTTGTACGTCCCCAAGTGATACTTCACATCGCCAGAACCCTGAGAGCAGAGAAGTCAGAAGAGAATTAAACCCGTCACACTTAGGCAGACAAATAATAATCATTTTTTATTCAGTCAAAATACCCAAAACGTTTGCTGATTGCAGCTTCTCAAACGTGACGATTCGCTGCTTTACTCTCTTTAGTCATTTCAAATTGAGTATCTTTGGGTTTTGGTCTGTTGGTCGGTCAAAACAAGCAATTTCGACATTTTGGAAAATATGGTTATTTGCTTTATTGTCAAGAGTTCGATATAGAATAAGTGGATTTAAAATACCCCCTTAGGGTCTGAGAAACTGTGCCGGATATTTCTTCCAATTTTCTGAATTTTTATAGTCTAAACAAATAATCGATGAATTAAAAAATCAACACGCAAACGACTTTAATCACAGCTCGCTCTGCTGTCAGCAGCTCTTGTTCAAACCTCATCAGCTGCTTCCAGTTTAGAGTCGAACTGGCAGAAGATTTGTTCGAGCTCCTTCCGGATCACGTTAGCCAGAACGTTGAGCCTCCCTCTGGACACGGAGGAGCACATTTCATATTAGGTACAAGATATGCCACCATTTCCTATAACTCTACAGCATTAAGTCCAAAAGTCAACATTTTTTTGGAAATAAGATTGATGTTATCATTATCATTCATTTCAACGCGGTCAAAAAACAGTTTGCTCTTGAACCTGCAGTCTAACTCCTGTAATATGGCAGCAATCTAACAGCACCATGAATGACATTTACATAACCACGTGATGTTGGTTCACCTGTGAGGCATCCCCATGATCACACTCTCCACTCCGCTCTGGCTGGACTCGTCGATGATGGTCTTCAGGGCCGGGATGAGCGACTCACAACCCTCCAGACCGAACCGTTTCTCAGAGGACCACTTCCTCTGGAGGAAGTCCTCGAACCTGTGAACAGGTGGTTGCTGCTGCTTCACATTGTGTCTCAGAACATCCATGATGTGATGAGCAAATATGCAGAACTCAGACTGACCTTGTGGATCGGATCATCCTGGCCAGAAGAGTCCTCTTCTCCTCCAGACTGAAGTGCATGACTCCCGGTGTCTCAAACTTGCGTCTGATCCACTGGCACTGCTCCATGTCGTTAATGAACATGAACTCTACTCCGATGTGCTGGCAGTAGGACATCTAGCAGAGAGGAGGGTTAACGGGACTAATCTTCTGTGTCAGTTGTCCTGTAAAAAGCTTGAAGCTGTGCGTATTGGGCCTCATGCAGGATGTGACATGACAACTAACTTCTGGGCAAAAACCCCATAAATCCACCTCTACACTGACGAGGAGGGATTATTATTATCTATAAACTCGTATCTCATATTCATAAACTACTTTATTGCCTTTATACAAACCCTGTAAAGAAACAAGTCAAGTGTGAAATGTATTATAAGGAAACAAAAGGTTGATTATCCTGTAAACTATAAAGTAAATAAAGTTGAATCTAATGTAATTGAAATGAAAGACGGTTTGGGGTTAGGGTTGTCCTATTCATTAATCCTATTAACTGATGCACTCTAAACTTGTCTGAAAGGTGCGATACAAATGAAGTTATCATCACTGTAGGAATGTTTTCAGGACGTGGTTTTACCTCCAGGCGTCGTATGATCTCCCTGAGAGGCAAAGAGCTCTCGCTGCCTCCGATGAAGGTGGTGGTGGGAAGACGGAACACTTTGTCCAAGTCGGACTCAGCCAGTCCGTACAAACCTGCCGCAGAGACATAAAGACATCCACGTGAGGAGGACAACCACCGAACGAGTACAGGCATGCAAACCAGGTCAAGGTGTGTGTGTGTGTGTGTGTGTGGGGGGGGGGGGGGGGG